CCTGCCCGAGGACTGAAGGAGGACGCAGAATGGGCAGGGGTTTAAGCCCTCTACCCCTCCTTCTATTAGTGTAGCTCTGCTTTTAATTGTTTTAGATACTGGGTTCTGGATGTGATTTCATTTGAAGAAAAAGAGATCCCTGCCAAAAATAGACAGGAAGACTGAAAAAAGAGAAGAAAAAAGAGAGGAAGGAAAGGAGGCAGGGAGAGAGGGAGGGATGCAGAAAAGCTTCCTTTTCTTTTTTATAGATAAGAATAGCAGATACAAAATATTTGTCTTATATCTTTATATGAGAAAATGTGCACTATCATTTAAATACTTTTCTAAATCCAAACTAATTTCTTCTTTCTAATGACAGTTACATTTTGTGGATGTATTTATGATGCTGAAAACCAACTTCTAAACCAATGCAGGTGCTCTGTGTACGCCCAATTGTTACAGAGCTATTACTCAGCCAACTAATAAAGACTTAAGTTGTTTTCATTAGTCCTTTAATATCTTACAGTTACTTGTGATCTTGTATTACATAAACTTTTCTGTGGAGACTCATATAACATTAGCATTTTGTTTGTCCTTCAATCCTTGCTTCCACTGCAAATCACAGTATTAAAGATGATAGATGACTCTACTACTGACAGTTTGAACTCGTGCCCACGCAAAGCAGCCACAAGTTTTAAAAATCAACTTACTGAGATATAATTCACACACCATAAAATTCACACATTTAAAGTACACAATTCAATGGTTTAAGTATATTCACAGAATTGTGTGGTCATCGCCACAATCTAAGTTTAGAATATTTTCAATGTTCCCCAAGAAAACCCAGTACCATGGGCAGTCACTCTCCATGCCACCCTCCCCGCACCAGCCCTAGGTGACCACTAAACTACTTTGCCTCCACAGATTTGACTCTTCTGAACATTTCGTAGAATGGAATCATACAATTGGTGGCCTTTTGTGTCTATTTTCTGTCATTTAGCATCATGTTTTCAAGGTTCATCCCTGTCCTAACGCTATCTGTAGTTAATTATTTTTATTGCCACACAACAATCCATTGTGTGGATATACTACATTTTATTTATGTTTATCGGTTGATGGACACAGAGCAATTCTTAAAGCCACAACTTTCTTGAAGTCCAGGTTGCCGGGATTCATCCAAGATCATGGAAAGAGGTACAAGTGGCAAATCAAACACTACACATGGGAAGCGGTGAGTTCCCTTCTCCCCTAGTCAATGGAAAGAAAATTACCTCCTGTGCTCACCTTATCTGGTGCGTTTTTGCTTAACATTAAAGGAAAGACTCGCTCGTGCAGCCAGTACTTGTGATCGTTGTTATTACAGCCGTACAGGAAGATGTTGTTCTTACGGCTGTGGCCATGGAAATCACAATACAAGAGAACCTCCCTTTCTTCAAGAAGTCTATTGAGGGGGGCAAACAAAAGACTCAGCGGACATCCGAATGCATGGGAATGATCGAAGATCTTTTGGAGTCTCTTCCTTAACTATGGCTGCTGATACCTTCCCTCCTAAGGAAATTTCAACCCCTAATGGCCTTCAAAGGACCCCACCCCTACTCTCGGTCACAGTTGTAAACATGCCACCAGCATTCTGTGCCCCTGACAGTCAGCGGGACTTGGGATGGAAAAGTCTTGACATGGAAAGGGGCGGTAGGTAGGCCTTGTATAAGTTGACAAGGAAGTGGAGAAAAATCTATTGAAATAAAGTGCACCTGTCGTGCAGACCTGTGGAAAGAGGGGGAGAGGTAGAGAGGCTGTAATGCAGGGATGAAAAAAGCAGAACCAAAGAGAGCAGTGGTTCCTGGCTTTCCAGGGCTAGTTCCTGCAAAGCTCAGCTCTTCTTGGTCTCCTGATCACCCAGGACTCCTAGTCAGTCTTCCCCACAATCATGCTGAGAGGATGAAGATGTTAACGATAATGCCATACTTTTTAAAATTTATTATTTATTATTATTATTTATTTATCTTCCCCACAATCATGTTGAGAGGATGAAGATGTTAACAATAATGCCATACTTTTTAAAATTTATTATTCATTATTATTATTTATTTGTTTGTTTATTTTAGGTGAGGCAACCCTTGGTTGATCTCACAAATTGCAAGGACCTTGTCAGCTTACAATCCCTTATTTTTTAATTTTTTACACCTACAGCACCTGGTCTCCCTAGGTGGTCTCCCATCCAAGTACTAACCAGGCCTGACCCTGCTTAGCTTCCGAAATCAGACGGGATAGGGCTGGTTCGGGGTGGCATGGCCGCAGACAATGCCATACTTTTTTTAATGTGCTGGGTACTATGCTAAATAGATTACAAGGACTGTCTCATTTGATCCTCACAGCAACCACCCAAGGCAGGTATTATTATCCCCACTCGACAGATGAGAAAGCTGAAGCAGATATTAGATCACTCCCGAGGTCACAGAACCAGCCAGTAACTAAACCAGGTCTCACGCCCAGGCCTGTCTGGCTCCTAAACACATGCCCTTGCCATTTTACTACCATCCCAACACTACGCCCACCCTTCCGCACAGCTATGGTTACAGGGTATGGACCATCTTATATGCTGGAGCTTCGTTTCCAATGAAATAGAAGCACCTTTATGTGGGGTGCTATTACGTCATAGCCTTCAACTACTTTAACAGAGGCTTGGAAAAATGCTAACTGATTTATTATTGTTTCTTCATGATAGGCAATATAAGATGGTAATAAGGGCTCAGACTCTGGAGCCAGAGAGCCTGTGTTCAAATATCTCTTCTGTCACTTACTAGTTACTGAAACTTTCTGGGCCTTAATTTCCTCATCATATACAAAATGGGGATATTGATTGTTCCTACCCCACGGAGTTAATGTGAGGATTAGATGGGTCATAAGTGTAAAGCACTGGGAACACTGCCTGTCACCTCATACACGAGTACTAATACAGTACTGTCATTATTACACAAGTCTCATCATGAAAAGCTATGAACTCCTTTGACTTCTGACCTTCTTCATTCAATCATTTCACTTATAAGTGAAATACCTCTAGTTGAAATGTTGCATGTCCAGTTTCAACCCAAAGGTAAAGATCTGATTTAAGAGTTTAAAAATGAACAAACCCACGTGCGCATGGTAAAGACCTGGCTTCCAGAGCCTTCTCAATTCCTGCAACATCGGGAGACCTTGCCCCCTATCAGATGATGCTCACAGCATTCAGAGGAAGAGCAATAAAGGGTCTCACCTCTTGATCATGTTCCTGGTGTGCCAGATGCAAGGGAAAGACTCCTTCAGAATGGTTTTATAATGCCTGTTCAAGTCCCTTCCAGCCAACGAACACCGGTAATTCCCCACAATTACTCCGTCGGGGTTTAACATGGGAATCACTTTGAAGACAAAAATATCTCTGAGGAGCTCAGCGTCTGGAGAGTTGCTAAGAATGAAGTCCAAAAAGCCTTTCATGATCCAGGAGCCATTACTTTCCCCAGGGTGGACCCTGGCGCTCAGGACCACGGCTTTCTTTGCAGCCGCCTCTTGAGGGGTCCGGGATGGGTTGGTGATGGTGAGCAGGTAGACGGTATTTCCTGCTAGGCTCCTGCATAAAGTTTGGAGTTTGCAGAATTGAGATTGGATGGGGTTGTTTGCCACTGACAGAAGGTAGCACTGCAAATCAGTGTACGTGTACGGGTAGAAGTGTGCAAAGAAGCAGGTGTCCTGGTCATGTGGAAACTGAACGGTCCACGTGAGACAGTAAAAGGGCTGCTGCCCATCATCCATGTTGTTCTTATAGTATTTGATTTCATTTCCTTCTCTCCTCCAGCCGATGTTGTGGGTGTTGGCATCTAACTGGGAGTACATGAGTGGCTTCATCCCTAAAGTATACAGGCTCTTGGGTTTCAGCAAGTTGACAATGGTGAAGCGATAGGTGACATCTTTTCTGGTGTTCTGAACTCGAAAATAAAACCACTGAGTGTGTTTGTTTGTGTAGAGGTCAGTTCGCAAGGTGAGCTCATACTCGTAGGTGTCTCTGTAATGGAGAAAATAGAAGAATATCTCTGTAAACCCACACCCCACAAAAAACAAATCTGGGAAAATATTGTTTTTCCCTGGTAAAAATAAATCTTATTACAAGAGAAAGCCTGCTACATCAACCATTTATTTTCTCATTTACCTAGTTCTCCAACTCATATATTAAGCTAAGAGGAACTTGGAGAAAGAAAGTTTATTTGGTCTGGGATAGGAAGAGTCTCAAAATTTACACCGCTGCACAGGATGTTCAGAAGCACTGTGAGCTTCTTGGTATCCTTCTAGAATACCTAGGAGCAAGCAGTTTCTAACCACTTCAATACATTCCCTGAAACATACTGGACAGGAGGGAAGTTGGAGCCCTCTGTTGGTGGCTAGTTATAACCTGGACATCGCCAGTGTACAGACCCTCGAGCCTCTGTGCTATTATCTCTGATTGTCAATTATTTGAAGATGAGGGGGCATCTCTGGAAAGCACGCACCTTGTTGAAAAGAAGCAGGACTAACTTGCAGAAGAGGAAATACGAATGCCCCAAACACGAGAACATATTCACTCACATGCATCACTAAAGAAATAAATGCAAACTAAAACTGGATGTCATTTTATCCTCCATCTCATCAACACTCCAACATTGGGCAACAGCACTCTCATACACTGTTGATGGGAACTGAAATCACGCTGGAGGGCCATGTGGCAAAAACTAATAATACCTAGCGTTCACGCACTTTGACCCAACAAGTTTACTTCTAGAATTTATCCCATAAAGCCACAAATACTTAAAAATATAAAAGCATAAGGGTTTAATTCTGTTAATTCGCTAAACAAAAAATTATAGACGTCTCGATCTCCCATCAGCTGGGGACAGGGTAAATGAGGTATGGAATATCCATACAATAGAAAAAATGAACTATTAAAAATAAGGAGATATATCTGTAGTACTGCCAACAGAAAAAGATCTAAAATTAAGTGGATAAAAGCAATTTGCAAAACAGTATGTATATATACCATTATCCTAGTTTTAAAAACATATAACTTGTATGTATTACAAATACAAGAGAGAGAGAAAAAAATGAATGCATATACATCAAACTATTACTAGCTGCTGCATTGGGAGGTATGATTATAGGACCCCAATTTTTACATTACATATTTTTGTTAATACAAATTCTAAATGGGCACTAATTTCTTTTATAAGAAGAAAGAACAATTAAAATTTTTATTCTGGGGGAAAAATATGAGTCACAATTATTCCATTCTTCTTAATCATCCTCATAACCATTTCCCATCACCTGTTTTTTAAAAACACGACTCCTAATATGATTCTTGAAGATACTTCTCAGTCACTTCAATCATCATCCCTTTGAGATAATCCACTTTGTTACTCACACTCTGATGGCTTTCTGCAGATTGCCACTCTCAAACCTTGATTCAAACAGTAGAGTGTTATCTTCTGGTCCTTGCAACGTGACAGCGAGTTCCTTAATAATTCCCCGTTTGCCTCCCACTCTGGAACTGCTGAAATAGGAACCTTCGGTGGGCACTGCAGATGACAGATATATTGAGGCCACATTCCTCTCAGAATCCATTCATCCAGCAAATATTCACTGAGCCCCTCTATGTGTTCAGCACTATTCTAGGTTAATGAATGTTCAAATTTTTCAATTGTCCTTGCTGAGGCTTTTAATTTTAAACAGTATATTTCTTTGAAGGCCTGTATATGGTTTTAGAGCAATGGTTCCCAACCTTTTTGGCACCAGGGACTGGTGCTCCTATGAGAATCTAATGCTTGATGATCTGATGTGAAGCGCAGGTGGTGATACTAGCTAGAGCTGGGGAGCGGCTGCAAACACAGCTGAAGCTTCATTAGCTTACACTCTGCTCACCTGCTGTACGGCCTGGTTCCTGACAAGCCACCAACCAGTACGGTCCTGTCCGTGGCCTAGGGGTTGGGGACCCCTGGAGAGTGCTTTCTTTTGCTGCATGGCTACCTGTGGCATCTCAGATACTACTTATACCCATTTCAACCCTAATTTAAAAGGATATTGGCAAAATAATATTCTAAATGAACCATCTGAAAACATTTGCAATCTTACTGAAAAAAACACAACAAACAAATAGCACCTATTTATTAATTTAAAAAAAGATAAAGGGGAAAACAAAAAAAGAGAAAATAAAGTATACTCCATATAATTTTTTGGTACATCGTTCTAAATTTAGATAAAATAAAAATAGAAGTTTGAGAAGAACTGGCATGGGTGAATTTCCTTAAGAGGGGAACCAGAATATCATAGTAATTAGTGAAAAGAAAAGTTGAGGGTTGAAATTTTATCTTTAAAATGAAAGTAAAAGAAAAAATTATAAAATTTATCTTACTTAAGAAAACTTAGGTTGATATCACAATCTCTTTCTACTCTTTGGAATAATATTCAATTGTTAATTTTTTTTTGGTGGGATTGCAATTTTTCAGACAACTTCAGTGATTGCGCCACAACGCCTTTGATTTGGGCAGTCACTCTTGCAAAACTCTTTTAGGGCTTCATAGTTTTCCCAAGGACTTCTCTTTGTACCACAATATTCCTATCATTGTGCCTAGAGAAACCTATTTTGCCATCTTTTGTTGATTTTCTCTTCGTTAACTGATAAAAAGATTTCTCGGTTCTCATTTGTCAGTGACTTTGCAAGTGATTCGAGCAATTCTCTAACATTCATCAACCTCAAAAAATCCTGCATTTCTTGTTAAGAATTAGAAATGTCACTTTGCAATTAATTTTTACTTTATTTGCATTATATTATCAGATGTTAACAGTATCTTCCAATCAGCAAGTGACTGATATCAAGAAGGATGCTGACCACGGGACAGGATGCTAACAGTAAATAAATGGTAATATGTTTGGGGCTTGATTATATAAATAGTCAGATCATTAGTAAATATAGTAATATTATAATGACTTTTGCTCCTATCTGCAACCATGTCACTGTGGAGACTGAGATAATAAACAATGGATAACAAATGAGAGCAAAGGAGCGAGCATGCAAAGAAGTGAGTGAAAGAAGAAAACAAGCACAGAGGAAGTAGGAACAGAAGCAACAGCAAGAGTACACGTAATTAAAAGCTATAATTAAAAACCATAAGTAAAAGCTGGGGACCCATGTGGTTTAGTCACTTCACGGAACCGCAATCACAGTACACACCAGCAACCAGGTGACATTAACATAGAAAAGGCAGTATTTTCTTGAGTCTCTCAGGTAACATTAAAGACGGTCCAATTCACAGCCCACAGTAACATTTTTCAAAAAACGAAACCCCAGACATTCTCAAAGCATGTAGTGGCTCTGGGGCCCCTAAACTGACAAACTCCCAGATCCTCCTTAGAGCCCCATCTTCTCAGTTTTGTTTCTTTATTCCTCTAATAAAGCGGGTTCAGCTCTCCTTGATGAATCCAAAGGACAGGATCAAGGCAGCTGCCACAGCTGGGTGTTATTTCACAAAAGCTGCCATGTCAGAATGAGCTCTCAGCCTCAGGGGTTCCTCCTGGGGAAGATATGTAGAAATATCTCTGAACAGAACAGATGAAGCATGTGGATTCCTGGTCATCTGGCTTATCGAAAATGACTACAATCAGGTAAAACAGGCCGAAAACCCTGAGAATTTCTCGAGGCTTTAAAAGCAGTATAGCCCCTATTATTTATAACCTAAGTCTACTCAAGATCTCATACTTTACCTCCTCCTCAGACATTCCATAAGATGCAGCTAGGTAGACTGAGTTGCTCCACCTTATTTACTTCATTGCATATAGCTTTTTTCCACCGCAATATTATTAACAATGAGGACAGCTCATAATTAAGGCAACTACAAGTGGAGCGTGCGCAATCACATCTCAGTTGGGCCCTCTGCGACAACTGGCTCATTTCATTCTTCTAGTTGTAGAATGTAAACACACTGCAGTCTCTCCCTCCTACCTCAGGTTGTTGCTCCAAAACCTCCCCTTATTTCACTGATATAACACCTTGTTTCTACTAACTAAACATATTCCTCTTCTAATAAAATAGATTTCCTTTCTGATAAGTACCTAGAAGAGATTGATTTTTAAATTGTGAGAATATTTTTCTTGCTTTCTACTCCTTGCATACAGCATTTTCCAACTGCAGAGAACTCTTTTTTTAAAGTCCGAATTGGCTCTGGTACCTGTGTGTACAAATGAGCATGAGATGATTCTTTGGTGATAACAAAGATCACCCTTGTTAGCAGCTTCTTTACCTCCCCATGTCTCTATTACTAATCTGGCATCCTGACATTAATTAAAAATTTACTTCCCTTTCTTTGGGAGTAAAAAATTTATGTACATTTCTTGGCTCATTGCTCTTCAGTATTACCTTTCCTTTCTATCTCAAATGTTAGTATTACGACCTGTTCCACATCCTCCCCAGCACTTGACATTGTCTGTATTTTAATTACAGCTATTTTAGTGGGTGTGAAATAGATCCATTCTTTCTCTAAATACCATTTATCAAGTTGAGGAAATTCTCTTCTATTCCTAGTTTTCTGAATGTTCTTATCATGAAAGCCTGGATTTTGTCAAATGCTTTTTCTACAACAATCATTTCTGAGATGATTGTTGTTGTTTTTCCCTTTGCTGTATTAATGTGGTGTGTTACAGATTTTCTTATGTTGAACCAACCACTCTCGCACTCCTGAGAAAAATCCCCCTTGGTCGTGTTGTATAAGCCTTTTAATATGCTGTTGCATATGGTTTGGTGGTATTTTGTTGCAAATTTTTGCATTTATATTCATGAAGAATATTGATAAGAAAATAATAGTTTTCTTGTGATGTCTTTGGCTGGCTTAGGATCAGGGCAAAACTGGCTTTACAAAAGAGTTGGGAAACAGTTCTTTCTCTTCCTTTGTTTTCAGAATTTATGAAGAATTAGTATTATATCATCTTTAAATGTTTGATACTATTCAAACAAACCATGTCAAGCCATCTGAGCTAGGGATTTCTTTGTGGGAAGATTTTTAATTACTAATTCAATTTCTTTGTTATAATCTAGTCAGATTTTTAATTTCTTCCTGAATCAGTTTTGGTAATTTGTTCTAGCAATTGTTCCTGTTCATCTATGTCTTCTAATTTATTAGTATAAAGTTGTTACCAGCATTACCTTGAAATTCTTTTCATTTCTGTACAGTGATGTTTGTATTTCCTTTCATTTCTGATTTTGATCATTTGTGTCTCCTCTCCTTTTTTCTTGATTGGGCTAGCTAAAGTTTGGTCAATTTTGTTGATGTTTCCAAAGAACCAACTTTTGGTTTGATTTTCTCTATTATTTTTTCTATTTTTCTAATTGACTGATTTCATTGTTATCTGTATCATTTCCTTCCTTCCGCTTGCTTTGGATTTATCTTGCCTGATCTTTATTAAGATGGAAGCTTAGGTAATTTGAGATCTTTCTTCTATTCGAATATAGGCATTTAAAGCCATAAATTTACCTTGCAGTGCTTTAGTGCTATCCCATAAACTTTGATATGCTGTTTTACTTTGTCACTTCAAAATATTTTTTAACTCTCCTTGTGATTTAACTCACAGGTTTCTTAGAAATGTGTTGCTCAATTTCCAAATATTTGTAGATTTCCCGAATGTCATTCTGTTGTTGATTTCTAATTTAATTTTATTGTCATCAGAGAATATATCATTTCAATCTTTTTATTTATTTATTTATTTATTTTTAAATATCAGAGAAAAGAGTAGGTATTTATTTATGTATTTCTTTTCAATCCTTTTAAATAATATGTATTAAGACTTGCATTACAACCTAGCATATGGTGTATCCTGGGGAATCTACCATGTGCCCTTGAAAGAATGTGTATTTTGTTGTTGTTGGGTACAGTGTTCTACACACTTTTATAAAAGACACGGATTCTACCCCTAGGAAGCCTGAAACCGAATGCAGAAAACCACATAGTCAATGACAGTCATATGCACATAATATAAAGTACTCACTGAAGTATATACAGGAGGTGGAGAAAAGAAGTGCAAGTTCCCCAAAGATCCAACATCTAAATTTCAGGAAGGGGAATAACAAGGAAGAAGCTATAAAATGGACTTAGAACTATTAAGAAAAAAGTACTGTCATGAAAAAAAAAAAAGATTAAAATTTTAAAGCTGATTGGTCATGAATACCAGGGCTCTCATTCAGATGGGTCTGGAAAAGATAATTTATCACTAAACTATGGATTTTTAAAAAATCACATTTATTATAGAAAATATTTATAATCTTGTCATGATTATTTATTATCACTTTGTCATGATTAATTGCTCACTGTTCAGTGTAATGACAATACCTGAATCTAATTGATAGACAACTGTGCCTTTTTCCTCTCCTACAATTTCTGGTACCTTTTCATTTCCTGTAGGTTGATAGAAATATTCTGGTTCGGGTGGAACTCCCTCTGAAACAAGACATTTAAAAAGTACAAAATCAGAAATATTGTAAAAGGTACTTTATCAGAACTGATATAAAATTATAATAATTTTTTAAATGGCTAGTTTTGTTGAATCAAACCTAATCCCCACCCTAAGCTTCCAGTTTGTTTATAAATTATGTCTTGCTTCTTTCCACAAAGACTATGGGGAGACTTTTGACAAAGAGCATATATAATAAAAGCATAAACTTTAAATAGAAGACTTAAAAAATAACCAGAAAAGTCAAAATAGTTGCTTTAATAACTCTTCAATATTTGGTAATGAATTTCCTTTTAAAATCAGGAAAATATGATCAGATACATATTTTTATTACCATTGAGCAACAAGGATATCAATTGTTTCAGAGGAAACAAGGCTTTTTCATCAACATTCAGTTTTAAAGGGTTTCTTATATGGAATTCGGGCAATTTCTCAATATCATTTTAAGTACAATAGCCACTGATCAAAGCCAAGGGCATATAGAGACACAACTCAGTAAGACAATGCTATTTTCTTTCCTTTAAGGTGATGGGGATTGATGAGGCTTTGACAACTTGGTTTAAACTGTAAAGTGATTGCCATTAAATTTCCTTAAAATTTTTTTACAATTACTTTTTTAAAGATTTAGTGGTTTAGTGGATTACCACTGCAATAACTTGGATATTAAATTCGTTTCCCACTTCTGTTTCCCTCTTAGAACCGAGTCCAAAATCCTCACAGGAATTTTCTTAGTCTATTTTATAAAGAGAATGGTAAAATCCTATTGTTTGGCTGGATCAACTTGGACTTTTCTCTAAAAATTGTACAGGGTAGGGACAGATGACCTTAAGACTGTTCAGCTACTGTGCCAACTCAAAATGTACCCCACACCCAACACATGCATTTCTGAACCCAAAGAGCAGTTCTGTCCCTGGTTAAGACACTGAGCCTGTCTCTACATTTTCATCGTTATCTCGTCTTTCACGCTCAGTGCTCCATGGTTGTTCAGACACGTCATGCTCTTTTTGTTTCTTATAATTGGAATACTTTTCTTTGACCCTCTCAACTGGATCACTTCTAACTCATCCTTTAGAGCTCAGATACATGTCAACTCTTGGAAACCCTCACTGATCTTCCAGGCTGGGGCTAAGTGCTCCTAAAGAGACCAAGCTCTCTGCTTAACTTCATACTAGTCTATGAGCTTTGGGTGTCTCCATTGTGTTCATCACTATATCTCTAACACCAAGCGCTGTACTTACCATATGGTAGATGCTTAATAAATAGTTATTGAATGAATATTATAAGAGAGAAGTGAGAAAATCTGAAACATCCAGTAGTTTATCCAGAAGTCTAGAGCAGAGACATGATGTTCGATAGATATAAATGTTCCAGCAATTAGAAAAGTCTCCACTTTTTAATGAAACCTGCTTCTGAAAATGTTACATAAAATGAATGCTAAAGATCGTACTTGCACCAATAGCTCATAGGTATGACCGGCAATGTCATAAAAGAAGTCTTTACCGTTCCTATAAAACAACTCCCATAGACTCAAAATATAATTAAGAATAGTAAAAGCTATGCTCTGGCATATTTAATGTTTGTTAATTATACCAAGGCTAGTAAAAATACAACTGTTATAAACTCAACCAAGCATATTAATACTGAGATAGGAATAATCTAGAAAACAGATCTAAGTATATTTGGCCTCTCACAGGGTCTCCTCCCATTCCAACGACCTCAGAAACAGTTCAGTTTACACATTAGTGTAACTTTTGACTTTGGTGAGTGTGTATCAGTTTCCTAGGTCTTCATCACTTCAGGGTGAGCTAAGAGATGTTGAATCTGTCCTGCCTTGTACTTCAGCATTCAGGACTGTGAGGCCTCATAATAAAGTCTGTCAGAACAGCAAGACTATGACAAGTAAGTCACATTACCAATATGATGAATGTTTTCCTTGATGACCTCACATTCTATTGGCCACCTTGGAGCCTGCAGTGGCCCACTACCAGAGAAAAAGGCAAAGAGATCTCGGGGTTCTCGAAGACGTGTGTTTACTTCACCAAACTCATCATGAAGAAGCTGTCTGCTCTTGAGAAGTGGTGAACTCAGCATAAAGGAATCTGCTAAAGGGAA